AGCTGTATTCTCAACTAAAAAACTTAAACTCTTGCTAATATATGAAGTCGTGTCCATATTTAGTAATTATTCAAAATTAATAATTTATGTAAAATATTTTTTTTTTTATGAAAGGTAATTTTTAGGGGTAGAGGTTTGACCCAATCTTGTGAACTTGATGATACACACTATTATAAACGACTTATAAAACCAAATGTGTACGTAAAATCTCTACTTAAATTATCGACATTTGGATGATTCTGACTGAATACTACTATTATAACTGTGATGGGCAGCGAACGTGATATTATTTGGATGATGGAAAACTCAAATCGTTTTCAGATAGCGACCGGCGTGTACAAGGTGATGAGTTTTTTTTGTTTTTTTGTTTTTTTTTTTCCTGGTAATAGAAAAGTTATAGAGTAGGAGTGCAATTTTTTTTTTTTTTTTTGGCTGCCAACAGTGGGAGTGCCAGTTTAATCGGCTGAAGTTGTTGTTAGCATAATTTTTATTAAGATTATTATTTTAATTATTATTTTATTAAACTATAAATTTTTAAATAATTAATTATAATATTTAAAATATTTATTTATAAATCAATTTTAATTTATTAAATTTAATTATTAATTATTTTATTAATTATAAATTATTTTTAATAATTAAATTAAATTAAAAATTTAACAATTTTTTATGACAAAAGTAACAAAAGTTAGGTTCCCCATAACCATTTTCAGTTTAGTTCGCTTTCGTGTACGGTAAATTGCACGTGTATGCTTTTATTTATTATACTTTTTTTACTGTTAAACTGAGTACTTGTATCTCTTTTTTGGCAGGATGGAAGAGGATTGGAGGCAAGCAGAAGAAATTATTAAAACTGATCAACTACCGAGTCTTTGGATGTAAATGTTACAAAATTTGGTGTATGCTATTATTTTTAGAATATTTTTTCCATTGTTAAATTGAGTACAATTTTTTCTTTTGCAAGAAGACAGCCTGGGATAAGGATTGAGCTAATAGTCAAGATAAGGCTTGGGACGAGTATTATTGGATGGAGGCATTTGAAGTTGATCGACCAACAGTGAAATTTTTAACGTAAATGATAGAATAAAATTGTGTCTATGGTTTCCTTTTATGATAAATATTTTTTATTGAAGAATTGATTAAATTTTTTTTTTCTTGCAGAGAGGAGAATTGGTTAAACGCAAGAACAGAATTAGTAAACTTCTTCAATTCAGTAAAATATAATTTACTTTCCTCTCTTATATATTAAAAATTTTTTAACTTATATTCTAAGAATACAATTTAAGGATGTTTGCATTGTTAATAATTAAAATATAAAAAGTAATATTAATTTCACCACTGATATATTCTTTCATTCCTGTGTCCTAATTGAATGATCTG